TGTATAATTATATAGTTAATGGTGGTAGCTGAAAAGAAAAATAAGGTACAAAACAGCATTCCAGCTTATTCATAAACATTTTCTTCATTGAATACTTTTGGAAAGCTTTTATGTGCTCATTTTAACTACATTTCCTATGAACACTTGCAAGGTTCAAATTAAAAACAATAAACAATATATAATTGAACAAGTGTAGCTTACATAAATTCTTTTAAACCACCAAGGCTGTGCAGGACCTGCAGAACCCAAGGAAGCTGAACCGTGGATTTCTGCGAAGTGTGGTTTTTGCAGGCATTGATTGCTTCAGTTTTCGCAATCCGCCTTCTTCTATGAGGCTTTCTCCAGAGCCATCTATTGTCATGAAATTATCTGTTCTTTTTCTGGTTAACTTTTTAATCACATATCGCCTCAAATATGAAAATGTTTCCTCAAAAGTTTTTGTGTATTTTAGAATTCAATTGAATTGATCAATTTTAATTAATTTGAAATTAATTATTGCTGTTATCAGCTACTGTTTGTTACTCATAAGTCAACTGTGTTACTTATAAATGTATTTAACAAGAATAGTATTTTAATTATCTATTTTGTTTGGTTTGTATTGTTCAAAAAGGGGAATATTATCTAATTTGCTCAAATTGCTGAAAATGTTCATTTAAATGTCACTTTTATGACAAAAGTAGTACCACAATGTTTATTTAGAATTTCATATTAAATAGATGTTTAATCTAATTTTCTCTTTAGATAAAAGAAAATAGATATAAATTGGGTCAAGAGACTCATGAAGTGCTGTTTATCCATTAACTGTTTTAAGTGAACCAAATATGTAATTTCTAAGTTATGTGCTTTACAATATTTCTGTAACAGGGCAGACAACAAATACTGCTTTCATTCACAATAGTAGCAAGTAACACTACTGTACTTTGTTTTCCCATTAAAGTGCACCAAGTCCTTTTCTATTTATTTGGAACTATAGTATCATAAAAAAGACTTTTTGAAAAAAATGTTATAAACTATTTTTAACTTTTACATGCTCTAAGATGTACTCCAATTGTATAATCACCCAGCAGTTTAAGGAGAGAGCATTTGCATTAATTCCCCAGCCTCGTTGCCAGCAATTGGCAGAGAGCTGTTTGGAATTAAGAGGTGTCTTTGTCATGTATACCAGTCCAGAAACCGGTTATCCTAATGCCCCATTGTTGTTTTTTGTCAATGGACAACAGGGATAAATATG